GGCTTTGGGGACGTGTGATATTATGGCTGCAACGTAACTTTCCCAGCTGGCCCTTTCCGTGTGCATAGGCACCATCTTCAGCGTGGCAGGACCTTGCCGTTAGGCAAACACAGAACAAAATAAATACAACTATAAATGTGCAGTAATAATAACGACATCTACAAAAGGCAAAGCAAAACACTCGTTGCACCGAGGTTGCATCAGATCATCTGCAGGGCAGCAAAGGGCTTTCTGCAAAGGCTTTGGTTGTGCTGGACACAAAGAGTACCTTCAAAGACTCCCCACACGCTGTTAAGCGTTTGGGGAACTATGTGTTTTTTGACTTAGCATAGCTGCTCTGTATGTGCGAGGTGCTTTTTGCTGCTGGTCGTCTTCCATTTGCTGCAAGGTAACGAGAACGCTTGTAAAAGCTAAAGCCACAAAAACTATGCAGTGGCATGCGTCTGGCTATAGCAGTTCTTATACACTAAATGCCTTTTCACAGGTTGATAAAGAGACCAGCACTGAGGAATCGGTTAATGAGAATGCACCAGTCCGGCCCAAGGACAGAGGCAGCTGGAGCTCGAGACAGCGTCCCTTTGTCAGGAACAGCATGATAGTGCGCTCACAAACCTTCTCTCCAGGCGAGCGGAACCAATACATCTGTAGGGTAAGAGGAAAAACACTTGGAATGAAGAGCTATTAACTAAAGAGTCATTTAACTTCTCGGGAATGATGCACTAATGACAGTGAGCCATGTACCAATTTTCCCTGCGAGAGGCAGAGCCCGTGCTTTCTCTAGGTTCTTTCCCTCCCTAACTGACCTGATGCACGGTAGAACTGACTTTCAGCAGAGCTGCATACTCTTGCAAAACACCTTTACTAGGGCAAAAATACATGCCATCGGAGAGAAGTAACACAGATTCCTCTGCTGGCTGGCTGCAAAAGGTGTGTTTTCCTGCACGTCAGCAACTGCAGCTCTCGCACAGCAAAATAATTTGTTAAAAACATAGAATAGAGTTCACTGTAAACTGCCATTGCATTATCATATTTCAATAATGTAACCGTTTAAGGGTAATAGTGCGGAAAGAGCTCCGTCATCAGTTTTAAATCTCACTTTGTCTCTCAGCTGGTTCTAAACCTGGGTGGCCCAAATCCTGCTGTAACTATGTCTCTGGAAGATGTGCGAGCGCTGCCTAGAGGCTGAGCTTTGAACACGGCTTTGGCAACAACATTCTCCAGTCTCTCTAGATCTATGGCAGCATGGAAAAAAAAAAAGATTTAAATTATCAGCCCTGTTGCTGCTAAACTAAGTGTGAAAATGATGTGTCTAAGGATTTAAGCATGGATAACCAGCTCTATAGATTTTAATTACAGCCACCCTAGAAAAGGCTGTAATTAAAATCTATTAAAAAAAAAAAAAAAAAACAAAAGACTTATGCTTTAGTTCTTCTCCAGTTCAGTTAGAGGTGGTTGCCTTAATCACTTGGGAACGTTAAACTTGATCACTTCTCTGCGATTATCATTGGCTTAAAAAAAAAATAATCTATAGTCAGTATCTACATACTTACATAACTATTCCATATACCCTCCAGAGTGAAACACAGCGGATCATTTTGTAACAATCTTTACATAATTTGGACAGATTATTGGCTGAATTCAGAACCTAGCCTTCATCTTAATTCCTGTACACTGGAAGTAAGTTGCGCTGGCAAAAAAATGTAGCCTTCGCTTGCTGCCTGTGGAGGCCCTCCACAGGAATTAACACCGGTTGCTCTGATAGTTTAGTCAGTGCAAGCTGCTCAGGTTCTTGCATCTGGAAAATATTGGGCTTTTGTAGCTTTCAAAATTGCTACATCCCTGCTGCCAGAAGCCAGAATCTAACAGAACATGCCTTGAGTAAACTGTTCTCTTGTTGGGTACAGTATTTCCTGGAAGCAAAGTAGCCTAGGGAAAGCCTGTGCTTGCCAGGATGAATCTTTTGCAGCTTCAGAATTCCGTGTAGTCCGCTGTCAGGGCTCAGCAGCGGGCACTGCAGCTGCATCCGAGCCTGCGGAGAGGGCTGGACAGCTCGATTCTCCCCCGTCCCAGTCCCTGGCTGGCACCACAGGCACGTCCAGCCTCGCTTGTGGTCCTGTACCAGAGGAGAGCATCTGCTGGGTACGCTCCGGCTCACTGCCAGCTCCTCGCTTTGCAGAAGAGGTGGCCCAGCTTTACGAAAGCACCTCCTGTCATGCCATGTTGCAGCAAACGCAAAGATTTTGGAGGCCTAAAGGGCAGATCCCAAGTCTGTCGGTGCCTTTGCCAATCCCCCTTGAAATGTGCGTGAAGAACATCGGTGGTGATAGCCATCTGCGCCTGTGAGTTCCAGGGGTGGGCTCCCAGCAGCGGCTCCACGGTGAGGAGAGAGATTTGCCTTGTGAGAGGTGTATTCAAAAGGCAAGGGGTGGTATTTCTCACCCCCAGCTCCCAGTCAGTCCTGTGTAAGCATCCTCTTGGGCTCTGGCTTCGGTTATTGAAATGTTAGCAGAATGATTCTTTTTGCCTGTCCTTTTCTGAAGAGGTGAAATAAATACCCTGCAGATAGGTGCTTCTGTTTTCCTTGAAGGTTACCCCCATGCATGCTGATGCCTCTGACAGTCAGTCTGCACTGATGTGTGTGGGACTGATGCTGTAATTAAGAAGAAACTACTGCCGAGCTGTGGTGCGTGTTTTTGAGAAGCAGGAAGTGCTTCTGCAGGAAGCTGGAGGCACACCTGTGCTTGCTACAAATAGTAATAGCACGAAACTACCCTTTGCTGGGCAGGTGCCTGTCTACAGCAGTTCACCTGCCCTGCAGCAAATGCGTTAAAAGCCTGCCCCGGGTAAATGAAATCCATAGTTTATAATCTGCAGTCCTATAAAAGCCAAACAGTGATTTGGCAGTACTTAATAACCGTAGTTACCTTCCTTGCTTTCTACACAGTCTGCTTACTGAATGAATAGTAAGATCAGTGATGCCCCACCCCTGGGAACATTCCAGGCCAGGTTGGACGGGGCTCTCAGCACCCTGGTCCGGTTGAAGCTGTCCCTGCTCACTGCAGGGGGGTTGGGCTAGACGACCTCTAAAGGTCCCTTCTAACCCAAACCATGCTATGATCCTGTGAATGGTTGTCTTGGCTTAGGAACAGAATTTTAGAATCAATGCTCATCCTAGTTGAAAAAGTTTTTACTTTATACTAAGGAAGACCTACATATATATCAACACTGAGGTTATCTGACTGGTTATATCAATACAGATGTATTTGTGTATGAAGATGCTTTATATCTCCGTTATGTACATTTTTGACAGTTGAATCGAAGTGACAGCGACAGCTCAACGCTAGCAAAAAAGTCTCTCTTTGTGAGAAATGCCACAGAACGGCGGAGCCTAAGAGTTAAACGGGTACGTGCTGCATTACCTGGACGTGATTTAAAAGAAAGCATGGGGAGAGAAGGAAAAACAACCAGCTTCAACCGTATGCTTTATTTCAAGCATTTCAGCAAAAAGAATGCAAGTACCCCATGTAGTCCCGTCGTGTCAGGTTGAAATCTCCAGATGGAGGCCTCAGTCCTACGTGTCCCCCCACCAACAAAGATGAGGTTGTTCTAGTGGTGGCTGAAGCCAGCAGCAAGACACTGGTGCTCAGCGTCATGGCGTTTACTGTTGAACTTCAGCTTGTTGCTGTCGAAGGGATCTGGGTTAAAGAACTCAGATATTGCAGAGTGGCCCAAGGTGGCTTATGCTGCACAGAAGTCAAGACCAGCAACATGTATCTTGAGCAGATTTGGGTGGAAATTTCAAGGATTCAGATGTCCTTTTAAAGGGGATTTACTCTTCTCCAGGAGTGTTTGAGTAGCAAAAGGATTGGAGGACAAGAGTAAGATTGTATTTCTCGTGCTAGGAGTTCATTCTTACAGAAATTGAGAGAGTTACATTTTAATCTTGATTGTAACTAAAAAATAACCAGTTCTGCCGAAGGTTTGTTACCAGGTAGCAGGATTACACTTGGTATAAGAAAGAACCACGGAATAGCCTGGAATGGCTTCCCCTGCCCGGCTTGCTCATGGAAAACTGCACAGTGAGAGGACAGCAAATAATGTGAAATACAGGAAAGAAGGGCATGTTTACAGAGATCATAACACTGTGTGTTTGCTTAGGCCTTGAAAAAGCAAGTGTTGATAAAAATAAATAAGGTAGTTGAAATCTATGGGCGAGTCTTATGTAGTGTTGATCTCTGGGCATTGTGTTGTCCTGGGGATCAGAACGGGGTGGGGTTTTTTTAACCTGTAAATATATCATTGCACACCTGGTTGGAGAGACTTTTGCATTTATTTTTAGCTAGTGCCTGAAGAAAAATTCCAGAATAGATGAATTTTTGGAATTGGATCTCATCAGAGCAGCTTTCTGCTAGAGAAAACAAAAAAAAAAATAATTGGGCTTTTCTGGCTGCATTATGTCAAACCCCACACTAGCCTGTCTGTGTATTAATTTTTATTGTTCTGTCTCCCACATCATTCAGCCTGTTTGCCAGCCAATCATGCGAAGAGCTGCGCACGAGTGCCCCATGCGCACCTCCCTTGACTTGGAGCTGGACCTCCAGGCGTCACGCACGAGGCAGAATCGTCTGAACGATGAGCTGCAGGCCTTGCGGGATCTCAAACAAAAGCTTGAGGAAATGAAAGGCAGAGGAGAGACAGACCTTCCCCTGTGTGTGCTAGAGGATGAACGATTCCAGAAGCTCCTGAAACAAGCTGAAAAACAGGTATGAGCAGCACAGAGCTGTTGTGTGAACAACTGCACTTATGCCCCTACCTTTTCTATAAATTCGTTAAAGAATTCGATCTATTGTGTTAAAGATTTTTACGGAAGCTCACATTTGACTAATTACACCCCCAAATTACATAGTGTAAACACTATTTCTTTATCAGTCAATCCTACAGCAGTTAAACCTAGAATTTGAGGTAGTGTTTTTCTAGTGCCCTCTAAATACTTTAGTAATTCAGAGTGGAAGCTCTATGATTTGGAGTAATAGTTGAGGTTGGTGTAATAAAACAGCATTTACTTAAAAGTTAATATAAAATTCTCACGTCCCAGCCATACTTCTGCAGGCATGCATAGCTTTTTGTCCTTCAGCACCATCTGATTCGCAGTCTGCACAGAACTTGTAGCCGAAAGATCTTTGTGACAGGTAGAGAGAGGCAATGACCGTTACTTAGAGTAGTAGGGGCATGTGGGAAAGGCAGTAATTCCACGGAGGCTTATTTCCTTGCACAGGACAGAATTTCTCTAGTTTTGGGGACGGAGGCTTATTTCCTTACGCAGGGCATAATTGCTCTAGTTTTGGGGAAGAAAAGCCAAATTCTGTTCTGCATGTGATAGTCTCTCAGACAATGCAGGTGTATATATTCCCTGCCATACGGTAAGATGGGACGCCCTCATGTGGAGAACAGACAAGAAACAGGACAGGAGGAGTGGGAGCCAACCATGACAAGCTGGAAGATGGGAAATTTTGACAAAATGCATGAATAAGTTGGATGTTGTGGGGTTTTCTTTTAAATTTTGAAGGCCCCCTGCCTACTGATGTCAGTGGACGTACATCAGTTTTCGGTGAGGGGAGGTTGCTAGTGACGTCCAGGAGAGATGTGGACTCTTCAATTATTTATAGTTGACAGAGATGAGTGTTTTGATGGCACCAAGTTATTCAGAGTTGGAAAGCGATTTTAACAAGGTGCAGAAGACCTCCTAATATGTAAGCAACAGTTGTTTTGGGCTTTTTTTGTTTTGTTTTTAAAAAAAGCTAAATGTCAGTAAATAGCCTTGTATAGAGGAGGGAGGAGATGATCCTCATATTTACATATACAAAGCTGAGCTCTGAATTAGATGTTAGGAACGAGATACTCCGCATGTAAGAAACAAACACATCAGCAAAACCAGCACAGCTCTCAGCAGATGTCAAAAAGCAAATAAGGCAGTAATTACTAAGAAAAGAAGTTGGAACAAATGATTGTTTTATGATATAAATACACGTTATGCCTGCAACTTAAACGTTCAGTTCTGGTTCCCCTTCTCAAAGTGGATAACCAAACTACAGAGCGTTGACAAGGATGGTCAGAGGAGGAAACAGCTTCCATGTTAGGAGTGCCTAAGTAGCTACAACTGAAGTCTATAAAATCGTGAGTGAGGTGGAGGAGAGCAATTAATCGTTGTCTTTTATACTACAGGAAGCAGGGAATTGAAGAGGTGGCAGTTAGAATGCGAACAATCATAGCACAACATTTAGAGACTGTTAACAATGTTTTCCACAGAACATTGTGAGTGCTACAAGTTTGCATAGGTCCAAGAAGCAGTTAGATACATTCATCGGAGGTCCTTAACCACAGCGATATCACCTACTTGAAGAAGTCCTTGACCACCTGACAGCTTAGGGGAACAAAACTTTTCCCCAACGCGTTCTCCCAGCTCTGTGTTTATGCCCTGTTTTGTCCTCTCTGTCTTCCTGCCTCACTTTCCTTGGCATCTGCTGTTGGCTGTAGATAGTGGAGTTCAAAAATGACTATAAAGTACCAGCAGAGTTGAGGCTGAGCGTTGACAAGTGTATTGAAAAACCCTTGGGCAAAATGGGGTAAGACAGCACAATGTTTCAAAATCGCACAGTGTAACTGTGGCTTTTTACCCTCTGAATTCATTGTATGAATTTGATCTAAGTTTTAACGCATAACAATAGTGGTTCATATAAAAGAAGCATAGCTAAATTTATTTAGAAGTTCATAGTTTATATCTAATGCTGGATGCGGGATAGAAGTGTTAATTTTTAATTGCCTATTTTATTTAAAACTGCTCCCACTCTAAAGCTATTCCTACTAGAGTAGAGCATGCCTCTGCAACATGATGTTATAAATCCTTTGGATTTCTGCTTTCTTATTTCAGCTGGCTCTTTCAAGGCAGCAGATAAGTTTGTCATATCTTCTATCTCTGCTGTCAGTGATCAACACCATGACATGCACTGCGATGAGGAATAAGGGTAATAATATACATTCCTAAGATATATGCAGGCTGCAGCACAGCGTTGAAGTCCTCCTTTCCAAGCTAAAAGTCAGAACAATGATCACAGCCACTCCACCTCTTTGAAGAGCGCTTACAAAGTTTCCAGAAATATTTTTACCCTTAAAATCATTGCAGCCTTCCCCTGTGGAGCAAAACAACCCTGCGAGTGCTGTGCTCTGCTGTCAGTGTTTCCTTTTGGGTTAGCAAAACACAGCAGCCTGGAGAACATTGTCATAGATTATTTTGTAGATCCTGCAGGCATTATAATGGCGCAGACTAATGCAGCAGCTGGAAGTGCCAGAGAAATTGAGAGAGTCTCAAGTGAGAAATGAAACCGCAGATGTGGGAGGTGTTGAAAATCAGTGGCCGCTTCCTAGCACGCAGTTACTCTGCTTGAAGCCAAACACACGGGCTCCACACCTTCCCTACCACACCTTCCTAAGTACAGCAAGTACGCAAAGCCCACTAATACCTGCAGATCAGAAAACAGCAGGTGATTCTGTGCACCAGAAGCATTTTATCTTGCTTAGATTGCATTTGTGTGAGAAATCGTGCAGTATTTCAAAGTTTGAGTCTTAAATCCTCGTACGAGTAAGTTTTCAGACACCTGGTGTCCTCTGAAGTACTTCCTCTTTGTGTATGTCCAAAAAAGACACCTGTAAAGATCTTTTTTATTTCTTTTCGATATATCTCCTGAATAGAGGTAATCTGTAATTACGTCATTAATACCACAGATCCGTCCTTGTTGAGTGTTTTGGTGTTTAGCACAGTTAATGGTTTTTTTTTTTAGATTCACTTTCATTCTTCTATACAAAAAATACTGAAGAGCAACACAGGAGTTAGTGTTTCAGCTGTAATTTTCATAGTGTTTCTTCTTTATCTCACACTTAAGCTAAGTGCACATACAGAGATTCCTAGCTGGCACTTATTTTTGGCAGAAAAATGCCAGGTCTTGGGGCACTTAGTGAATGTATAGCCAACATATTAATATGCTTTTCTGTATTTCATCTAGATGGAGGAGTCACTATCTTTATAAATCACTCAAGAAACATGATGTAACTATAAACCTGGTCAGGTACATACCTTGTCACATGCATACCCTTAGAGACATGGGGCTGAAATCAAAGTTTCTCTGAGAGCATCCTGAAAAAGTAAAAAGATTAAAAAATGAAAAAGGGCTGCGTGGTAATAGAGAGTCTTAAACCAAAGAAGTCATCTGTGCTGTTAACCTGAAATGCAGCAGTCACAAGAATCTCATGTACAGTTAGGGAAAAGATAAAATTAGAAAATTTTGAAATGTTGTATGTCTAGTGCTTTGATGATAAATATTAACTAGGGGAGCTGATAAAACATATGGCCAGTGACATATGTAAAATTAATTAATACACTACCAGTTGTAGATTGCAAATTTGTGTTCATTAACTAATATCAAAAACAATATTTCTAAGTTAATTTCATTTTAAAATCATAGCTATTTTGGAGTTGGAGACTGAAGAAGTTAACAGCAGTGCAAGCTGACTGGATATCGAGTGAGTTTTTGAAAGGGTGCTGCTCCTTCCTGTAAAACACTTTCACACTGGAGTGTGTTTCAACAGATGGAGGGTACCACTGTCCTGCTGAGAGCGGATTTCTATAAATACCCAGTATGCAACTTGTAGTATGGACTAACTTTTTTGAATTAGTTGGTTTTGTTGTTTATGAGTCTGCTGGGTTGAATTCAGAAGTGGAGACGAGAACTCCTCAGTTGCAAGCTAACTTTGAAGATCACTGTTTCTGGCTTGGCTGTGTGTTTTCATGTAAGGTAACAGAACAGCAGTTTCAAGTCCGAGTGCCTAAGTTAAGAATCAAAAATTAACCTCTAAAGAGTTTTTAAAATTGTTTAAGAATGTGAACTGCTTCTGTTAAATTTTGATGGCTGGCAAAATTCAAAATGCAGTAAATAACATTTGTCTGACAGTCCCTGCAGTCTCGAAATGAAACGAGGTGGCACTGGGTGTGCTGCGCACCCCGCATGTAACAGGGGTGACAACGCGTGTGTCAGGGGACTCATCTGCATATGAATGGTGGCCATTTGACTGAGAAATCCAGGTGACTGCCCACCTAAAAAGAGCTGCCGTTCACATTATCAGGCATTCAGAAACCCTCGATAAAGTTATTTTAAAAAACAAAATGCAACTCTTAGTCGGAGTCTGTCGCCGGAATGGTGGGCGGTACAGCCGTGGCTGTGCTGTCGCTGCAGCGGTGCTTGGTAAAGGCGTGTGTAACGGAGCCTGCGATACGGAGGCACAGAAATAGCGTAGCGTGCAGGTGGCCACGTAGCTGCCCAGCAGTGCTCCCGCCGAGAAGGATCCGTGATCTCGTTACCATTGGTGTTCTGTTCACTTGCCATGGCTTTCCCACTGCTACAAGGCAAACGAAAGAAGTGAGTCTCAGGTGCAAAGCAGGGGTCATGTCATGAGTAAAAGCACAAGAGTCCATGAATGTTAACTTTGCTAACAAGGTCAACAAAACTCAAAAGTGTATTCTGAGAGCAGGCCTTCTCTATTTTCTTTGTCATTTTAGATTAGGTATAGGCAACTTTCCTGAGAGCTTTCATTGGGAAATAAAAGTATTTTACATCGG